CAAAATTAAAGCACTTAGTAATGTATGAGTCCTTGTCTAACTTAGTCACATAATAAGCAAGAAATCACACACTAGATTTGTTTTTAATGTTTTGCAAGCAATATAAGGAAAAATATGAGGAAAAAATAATAGTAAAATGTCTTTATACATGGAGGCAAAGTTGGCAATCCAGATGTTAATTGTCACAGAAATATAACAGCAAGGCACCTCAGAGTCCTTGGAGATATTATTTTTCATATATATATATATATATTCACTTCTTAAGTGACTGCTTCCATCATCCCCAACTTTATATAACATAAACAGTTAACCCTGGAACAACACAAGGGTTAGAGACACTGACTCCCTGGGTAGTTGAAAATCCAAATATAAATTGACTCCCCCAAAACTTGACTACTGATAGCCTATTGTTGACTGGAAGCCTTAGTGATAACACAAACAGCTAATGAACACAAATTTTGTATATTTTTTTAACAATGACTCTTTATAAACTTGTATGGGGTCTAAATTATCCCTTGTAATATATATGTGTGTATTCATTCCACAGAGAATTAGGTGATCCGCCTCCTGGTAACCTGCTGGGAATTTCTCCAGGGCTTCTGGCTCCCCTTGAATGGCCACCTCCAACTTGTTTTGTTAGAACTCCCAGCATCACAGCGACGGCAGCTGTCTTATATTCTCCACACATCCATGACCCGTATCATTTCCAATAAATCGTCCACATCACCACCTTCTTCAAATATGTCTGCTGTATCTTCACTTGTTTTTTCTTTGGAAGCCAGAAACCTTTGGCTTCCTCAGCTGTGACAGAACTTCCAGAGGCTTCCTCTTTGGTGATCAGAGTAATTTCATGCTGAACAACAATTTCCCAGAAATGATTTAATTGTTTAATTTCCACTTTCTCTCGAAGGGCTTACAGGAAGCTGTTAAAGCGCTACTCTTCTGAAAGCTTAATGGCTTCTTCCTGGAAGGCTCTGATGCAGTCCATGCTCTTCATAAAATATGTCGTTTCATTAGTATCCAAAAACTGTTTGGTGTGATTTATGACCTGGTCACTTGCTTCCTCAAAGCTGGCATTCTTCCGTTTCACTAGAACATGGAAGTTTTCGGCAGGATTCACACTTCCAACAGAGGTAACACTGCCTTCAGCCAGGCTGGAGATGCTGAAATGGGCTCCCCCTTCCTCAGTCTTTAAACATTTTGTATGTTTTACGTATTATATATATATATATATATATATATATATATATATATATATATAAATATATATATAATGTTCGTACAACAAGTAAGCTAGAGAAAAGAAAATGTCATAAAGAAAATCATAAGGAAGAAAATATATACTTACTATTCATTAAGTGGAAATGGATCATCAAAAAGGTCTTCATCCTCCTTGTCTTCACGTTGAGTAGGCTGAAGAGGAAGAGGGTTGGTCTTGCTGTCTCAGGGGTCACAGAGGCACAAGAAACTCCACAAATAAGTGGACCCACACAGTTCAAATTCTTGTTCAAGAGTTAACTGTATAATATGATGATACGTCCTCAGTCTCAAGTTCTCACCCAATCATCAGATATCTCTTATTTGCTCTGGATGCCTACAAAGCACAAACTTGGAATGAACAAACAGACCGTTGATTCTAAGAGCCTCGAAACCTGCTCCCCTCCCTGTTCCCCTCAAAATGAAGGAACAGCACTACTATTCACCCTATTGCCTCAGACCCTATTCCACATGTCATCTTCAATTTTTCACTTTCCATCAGCCCCATGTGTAAGGTGAAGTCCCATGGGCTCAAAAACATTCCAAAATTTTCAAGAATTTTGGCTTCATAAGCAAGAAATTGTGGAATCAACAAATGGATTTTGCTGGTTTGGTTTTTGGTGGTGGTGATGGTGGGTTTTTTGGTTTTTGCTTTTTATTTTTTAGAGCCAAGGCCTCTCTCTGTGCCAGGTTGGAGTACAGTTGTGTGATCATAAATCACTGCAGCCTTGAACTCCCGAGCTCAAGCAGTCCTCCCACCTCAGCTTCCCAAGTAGCTGGAACCACAGGCATGAGCCACCATGCCCAGCTAGGTTTGTTTTTAAAGACAGGGAAAACTTTGTCTCCTTTCAAAGGAGCAAGTAGATTGGAAAAAGATGAAAGTATGGGAGAAGTTGGAGAAATCACTTAAGCATGAATCCACAGAAGGCAAGGAAGGGGAAATGGAATCTAGTGTGTCGAGATCAGGGTTAGTCTTGCAAGTGAAAGGGAGCTTGCTGGTAGAAGAATTTATTCGCTTAGAAGGTATGATAAGAAGGAAACAACAGGTGTTTATCCTTATATCTATAGTTTTGCAGCAGGAAGCTGATTGCATCTCCTTCCATTTTGAAGTTTGTGGGATGACCTGCTTCAAACTGGTAGAAATTGGATGGTGGGCAGGGTAGGGATTGGGGAGAGATAGGAGAAACAGGAAGAAGGCAGAAGCCCATAGAGATTAGGAGAAAGACGATCGTGAAAACAGGGACAGAGTACCTGGAACTCTGCATGCCCTCCAGAGAGTAGAAATCAATAATCTATAATGGAATCCAAATGTATATTTGCATAACATTCTATAGAAGTCTCCTCTCCCCAAGACATAGGCTTGTATTAAATGGGGGCATCCAGGACTGAAGTACTATTGACAAACAGGTTGGACAGAAGAACGAATGTTAAAAATATTGATAAAATATTTGAAGAGGTGGAACATATAATCTAAGCCCAATAGGGAAGGATGTAGAACCAGAAATAAATTGATAAGTAGGGAAAAAAACAGTGTCCCCAAGACATCAGTGACCATCCCTTCTCAGCAAATGGCAACTACATCAGAAATTTCCTAAGTCTATCTATGTTAGTTCGCTAGGATTGCTATAACAACCATATTCACCTTTTCTCCAACAAGCTTGCATCTTGTGGTACTTGGAAAACTGCAAATGTCTTGGACATCATCCACACTCCTAACTCCACATTTTGATCAGGAGCATCTTTGAAAATGCAAACTTGATGTTACCTATGCCCAGCTGATACTGCTCAATGGCTTTTCATTGTTGTAAAAGTGAGAACAGAGAGGTTTAAGATGGAAAATTGATTCTAAGCAAGGCTACAGCCATGTCAAAGCACTGTCTGCCTCTCAGAAGGTGCCATGTTTCCTTTAGACTTGATGTCTTCCCATTTACTGCATTTACTGTTTCCTTTCTACTAAATGCCCCTCTCTCTGTCTCAGTTGGGCTCCCCTTTCAGATCTCAGGTTAGACATTTCTTCTCCTTTGTCTTTCTCAGACTCCTTCCTCCTCCCTCCATCACCCTTAACTGGGTTAATTTATCTTCTACTTGCTCCTGTAACCCCCAGGGCTTACCCTATTGGCACACTCCATTAGGGTATTGTGTTATCATTTCTTGTTTATGATCAGGGTCTCCCATAATGAAAAGCAAATCTTTTAAGGGCTGTAACTTTGTCTCTCTTATGGATATATGAGTGTTGGCCATGCCTAGACTGTGCTTAGCACATCATTAAACCCCACTAAATATTTGTTGAATGGCTTACTGGCTTCTCTTCATTTGGAATAGCCTTGCTACTCCCTGGGCATTTATCACCGACATACAAAACTATACCCATGAGACTTTGTAGCTCCATAGTATGTTCCATGATAAACATTTGATTGACTGAAACATTCCTCCTTCTTTCCTTTCTTCCTTTCTCTTTCTCTCTCTCCCCCTGCCACTGCTGTCTTCCTCCCTCTCTCTCTCTCTCTCCCTCTCTCTCTCTCTCTCTCTCTCTTATTTATTTTTGGCTGCATGTAAAGTCTGTATAGAGCAACAACTGTTGTCTCCCCCTGCAGACTGTGCAACACTCTCCCTGGTGGGGGAGACTCCACGAAGCCTTTTGTGCTGTTCTGTGCCAGCCGTCAAAGGTCTAATGTGATTTCTTTTCTCCTTTACTTTCTACAGAGGGTGGCACAAACCCAGGAAGAATTGCAGCCTTAAAAAAAGAAAAGTCTCAGCCTTTTTGAATTTTACTTGGCTCTGAAACAAATGATAAATGTTACCAGCATTTAAGAAAAACATCAGTTCATCTCACTAGAAATTTGAACACATGATTATAGGAAAGTAAATTTAAAATATAAGCACTATTTGAAAACATCTCCTACTTGCTCAAATCAGAAAGTTGGTAGATTTGGGAGGAATGAGTAGTCTGCTGCGATTGAAGTAAGTTTTGACCTGATGACAGCATTCAGGCACAAGCATCCTCCAACGGCCATTGTAGGAAGCAGGACCTTGATGGGGCAGGGTCACTGCTCTAAGGTCAGTCACACGATGAGGCCATTATACAATAACTGAGAGGCATCCTGGAAGAAAGCTGCCCCACTCCCTTGAGTCTTCACACATTAACCATTGAAAAACTCTTCAAAACTCACACCATCACTTTAAAAAGCATTAGGGAGGAGAGATGCAATGCAGGACAGATCTTACATAACCAGCACCTGATTCAATATTTGGAATAAGAAATGAAGAAATGGGAAATTGATTCCAGGCAAACATTTCTTCTTCAGATTCAAACGTGTTGATGTTTAGTTTTTTGGATGGATGCAGTATAAAGTCACAGTGATATACACATCTGTAAATCTCAAGGAAAACAAGTTCTCAAAATAAATTGTAAGAGACACTTTTCTCTCTTAAATGTGCAATAATTTATCAAATAATTCACAGGAGTGTGAATTTCTGTTAAAGTGAGTATAAACATTCTAAGCCCTAAGCAGTAGAGGTAAAAGAAGTTGCTCTCAAATATCTTTTTAAATTTTATTTTCTTTTCTATTTCAATAGGTTTTTAGGGAGCAGGTGGTGTTTGGTTACATGAATAAGTTCTTTAGTGGTGATTTCTGAGATTTTGGTGCACCCATCACCCAAACAGTGTACACTGTACCCAATGTATAGTCTTTTATCCCTCGCCACGTCCCACCCTTTTCCCCAAGTCCCCAAAGTCCAATGTTTCATTCTTATGCCTTTGTATTCTCATAGCTTAGCTCCCACTTATGAGTGAGAACATACAATGTTTGGTTTTCCATTTCTGGGTAACTTCACTTAGAATAATAGCCTCCAATTCCATCCAGTTTGCTGCAAATGCCATTATGTCATTCCTTTTTATGGCTGAATAGTATTCCATGGTATATATGTACACCACATTTTCCTTATCCATGTGTTGACTGATGAGCATTTGGGCCCAGCAATCCCATTACTAGGTATCTACGCAGAGGAAAAGAAGTCATTATACAAAAAAGATACTTGCACACACATGTTTTTTGCAATTACAAAAATATGGAACCAGGTAAAATATCTTATTACATGTTTTTAATGTAACAGAGAAAAGATTAACTGAAACAATGATAACATCAACAGAGAAGGGTGACTAAAGGATTGGCTGTTAAGAAAATGCTAAAAGCTTTAATGCCATATTATTAAGATTTTCTCTGATTGTAATTTCTTCTACACAGAAATTGCAAACCTGAGTTCTACCATGTGCAACTTCAGTTACCCCTTCTAATTTAGCAAGCTGAACCCAGGCCCCTGGAGAAGGAAATACAGAACTTCTTTCTTCCCCTACTCATGCCTTTGGCCAACTCCAGACCTTCCACTTATCCCCAGTATCAGAGCCATTGGACAATTTACATAGACATTAATAGTCCCAAATATCAGAAAGGTAAAATCAAAAAGTCTTTCCTAAGTGAAATGCATTTGGACCCTCACATCGAATGAGGACGGCTTGTTGGCAGATGACAGCACCAAGAGCCCCTTTGAGGTGCTGGTGTTCTGTGCTTATTATAGGACGTAAAGGGTGATAGGAAAGAGCTGGATCTGACAAAGCTAGGAGCCAAGCACAGGAGGTACCCTGATCAGCCAACTTGGGGACAATGATTGGGCAAGTGAGGATGAGGCAAAAGGCTGTAAGTTGGAGATATAAAAGTGTGGATTGGAATCTCTTTCCTGAGCCCAGACAGTGAACCATCTTCCTGCAGAGATACTGAGGACAGGCCACATGTGTGAATGAGAAAAAGCGCATCAGGTGCACTGGTGCCAGGTCTTGGCAGCAACCCCGTGTGGAAGCAACAGCAGCCCAAAGGTTTCTGCTGCCTGGGGTATGTGAAGCATTCAGAAACATGACTGACATCCATGACTTCTCCCTGAAGCCTAGCATGTCATTGTCTGCTCGGAAGGATATGCTGTAAGCATCCTCTGTGCACAGGTGAATGCCATCAGTCCAGGGAATTTACAGCCTCACCTGTTCAGTTTTTAGTTTTTTTTTTTTTTGCTATCTGGTCACTCTCAACAAAAATAATAGCAAAAATGGCTGAGATTTCATTACCAAATGGCACCTATTTTCATTAATAGACAAAATCCTTTGGAAGCCACTTAATGTTTGTCTGCAAATATAAGCTCGCCACCCTGGCTTAAGGCGCTTGAGAAGGATGAGCTGTGCCAACAACAATTAATTTGCTGAGTATATACATCCTCATCAGCAGGGGAAAGGTAAGTCCCAGGCCAGCCAGAGACTGCATTAAAAATTTGCAATGAGTGTGTTTTACAGCAATGAGTATTGAACATGGTCAATTGCTTTTTTCTCTTCCAATGCCACTGATGTTAACTAATTCATAGTCAATGTGCTATTCTGTGTGCCCATGTTGACAGTATGACCCTTGTGTAATCCCTTGACATAATGAGATTACTGTCTTCTTAGCAAATTGAGCAGTTTGCAGCTGAGTTTTCAGTCTAGCCACAGTTACAAGTCTGGGAAAGTTGTAGGACAGCCATGTATGAATGCTTTCTCTCTTGCTCAAGAGCTTTGTCCATGATATCATGTTGTAAAGGTGGGGTCTCCCTACTCCTGGCTCCTGCCATCCTCTTTAATATCTCCCCTAAATTTTGACTCTACTACCAAATTTGCACTTTGAGTCTTTGTGCAGAGATCTATGTGCTGCTCCCTGTTCCTGGAAGATACAATTCCTACATGTTGAGTGTTTACTCATCCCCTAACTCCATCTCTAAAGCCACAACTTCCGTGCAAGTGTCTCTGATACGCCAAATTCCAGGATTCTTTACATGGCCTTCTAATGATATTTATAACCTTCTCTTTTGCTATATATTTTTTTTAATATTCAAATCTCATTTCTCCAATTCCATTTAAGAGCAGAGAATGAATCTTCTTTGTGATTCTAAATTCATTTTTCTTAGTTCTGATTCATATGATTTTTAATTACAATGTAATTTTTGAAAGATTTGGGCTGTTGAATCCTGCAAGGATGTCTTTTGAATTATTATGTTTAGAAAATGGTTATACTATTTAGAAGATTTTCTGTTTAAAGTCCAAATGATAACTAGTTCGAAGTAATGGCAGTTCTTAATGCTATATTTTTTTGTTGGGGTGTTGAATTTTTTAATTATTATTATACTTTAAGTTTTGGGATACATATGCAGAATGTGCAGGTTTGTTACATAGGTATATACATGCCATGGTGGTTTGCTGCACTCATCAATCCATCATCTACATTAGGTATTTCTCCTAATGCTATCCCTCCCATGGCCTCCCACTCTCCCACAGGTCCCAGTGTGTGATGTTCCCCTCCCTGTGCCTACGTGTTCTCATTGCTCAACTCCCACTTTTAAGTGGGAACATGTGGTGTTTGGCTTTCTGTTCCTGTGTTAGTCTGCTGAGAATGATCGTTTCTAGCTTCATCCATGTCCCTGCAAAGGACATGAACTCATCCTTTTTATGGCTGCATGGTATTCCATGGTGTATATGTGCCACATTTTTTTAATCCAGCCTATCATTGATTTAAGTCTTTGCTTTTGTGACCAGTGCTGTAATAAACATACATGTGCATGTGTCTTTATAGTAGAATGATTTATAATTCTTTGGGTATATACCCAGTAATGGGATTGCTGGGTCAAATGTTATTTCTGGTTCTAGATCCTTGAGGAATTGCCACACTGTCTTCCACAATGATTGAACTAATTTGCACTCCCACAAACAGTGTAAAAGTGTATCTATTTCTCCACATCCTCTCCAGCATCTGTTGTTTCCTGACTTTTTAATGATTGCCATTCTAACTGGCATGAGATGATACCTCACTGTGATTTTGATTTGCATTTCTCTAATGACCAGTGATGATGAGCTTTTTTTCATGTTTCTTGGCCGCATAAATGCCTCTTCTTAGGAAGTGTCTGTTCATATCATTCACCCACTTTTTGATGAGGTTGTTTGTTTTTTTTTTTTTTTTTTTTTTTTTTTTTTTTTTTTTTGGTAAATTTGTTTAAGTTCTTTGTAGATTCTGGATATTAGCCCCTTGTCAGATGGATAGATTGCAAATTTTTTTTCCCATTCTATAGGTTGCCTGTTCACTCTGACGATAGTTTCTTTTGCTCTGCAGAGCTTTTTAGTTTAATTAGATCCCAGTTGTCAATTCTGGCTTTTGTTGCCATTGCTTTTGATGTTTTAGTCATGAAGTCTTTGCCCATGCCTATGTCCTGAATGGTATTACCTAGGTTTTCTTCTAGGGTTTCTATGGTTTTTAGGCCTTACATTTCAGTCTTTAATCCACCTTAAGTTAATTTTTGTATAAGGTATAAGGAAGGGACCCAGTTTCAGTTTTCTGCATATGCCTAGCCAGTTTTCCCAACACCATTTATTAAATAAGTAATCCTTCCCACATTGCTTATTTTTGTCAGATTTGTCAAAGATCAGATGGTTGTAGATGTGTGGCATCATTTCTGAGGCCTTTGTTCAGTTCCATTCGTCTATTTGTTTTGGTACCAGTACCATGCTGTTTTGGTTACTGTAGCCTTGTAGTATAGTTTGAAGTCAGATAGCATGATTCCTCCAGCTTTTTTCTTTTTGCTTAGGATTGTCTTGGCTATACAGGCTCTTTTTTGATTCCATATGAAATTTAAAGTAGTTTTTTTCTAATTATGTGAAGAAAGTCAATGGCAGCTTCATGGGAATAGCATTGAGTGTATAAATTACTTGGGGCAGTGTGGCCATTTTCACAATATTGATTTTTCTTATCCATGAGCATGGAATGTTTTTCCATTTGTTTGTGTTCTTTCTTATTTCATTGAGCAGTGGTTTGTAGTTCTCCTTGAAGAGGTCCTTTACATCCCTTGTGAGTTGTATTTCTAGGTATTTTATTGACTTTGCAGCAATTGTGAATGGGAGTTCACTCATGATTTGTCTCTCTGTTTGTCTATTACTGGTATATAGGAATGCTTGTGAATTTGTACATTGATTTTTGTATTCTGAGACTTTGCTGAAGTTGCTTATCAGCTTAAGGAGATTTGGGGCTGAGACAATGGGGTTTTCTAAATATACTATCATGTCATCTGCAAACACAGACAATTTGACTTCCTCTCTTCCTATTTGAATACCTTTATTTCTTTCTGTTGCCTAGTTGCCCTGGCCAGAACTTCCAATACTATGTTGAATAGGAGTGGTGAGAGAGGGCATCCTTGTCTGGTGCCAGATTTCAAAGGGAATGCTTCCATCTTTTGCCCACTTAGTATGATATTGGCTGTGGGTTTGTCATAAATAGCTCTTATTATTTTGAGATATGTTCCATCAATAACTAGTTCATTGAGAGTTTTTAGCATCAAGGGGTGTTAAATTTTATCAAAGGCCTTTTCTGCCTCTGTTGAGATAATCATGTGTTCATGTGTTTTTTGTCATTGGTTCTGTTTATGTGATGGATTACATTGATTGATTTTTATCCCAGGGATGAAGCCAACTTGATTGTGGTGGATAAGCTTTTTGATGTGCTTCTGGATTTGATTTGCCTGTATTTTATTGAGGATTTTCACATCTATGTTCATCAGGGATATTGACCTGGAATTTTCTCTTCTTTGTTGTGTCTCTGCCAGGTTTTGGTATCAGGATGATCCTGACCACATAAAAAGAGTTACAGAGGAGTCCCTCTTTTTCTATTGTTTGAATTAGTTTCAGAAAGAATGATACCAGCTCCTCTTTGTACTTTTGGTAGAATTTGGCTGTGAATCCGTCTGGTC